TAGATATGTGTGTGTGTGTGTGTGTGTGTGTGTGTAGAGTGGTCTTTTGTTTTAATTGTGGAAAAACATGGATTTGGGGGTATTTTTAAAAATGGATTTGGGATGCTGCTGCAGCAGTCCAGCTAGCACAACGTGTAGTGTCCCCAGGTACCAAGTGGCCGGGCCCCACAAGCTCCTGAGAGCAAGTAGCCCTGAGCTGCTTGTCAGGGCAGCTTTTTGTACAGATGGGGCCAGGACAGGGCAGCTTTGTATACTGCTGGGGACAGCACAGATGCTGGCCCTGGGTTCTAGCTCCCCCTGGCTGCAGAGCCGGGAGGAGCCAGGCAGGGTTATTTTGCCCCAAGTGACACAATTTGCTCCACAACAAAGTGCACGTCCAAGCACGTGTGCCGAGGCAAAAAGCCCCAGCTCAAATTTACACCACTTCTATTTCAGCTGCTGCAAGCACACATGCTTGCATGTGTGGGTGCACCCAGACAGTTCTACTGAATGGATGCGTGTCTTGGCAAAAAATGGCCAGTGGGGTCCCTCAGGGGTTCCTGCTTGATCCAGTGATTTTTAACATCTTCATCAATGATTTTGATGTGGGGGTGAAGAGCTCTCTGGCCAAGTTTGTGGATGACACCAAGTTATGGGTAAACGTGATCATGCTTGAAGATAAGATGCAGATACAGGTAGACCTAGACAGGCTGGCAAGGTGGGCGTATCAGAACCAGATGAGGTTTAACATCGAGAAATGCTCCATGTAGGGACAAACAATCCCCTGCACACCTACAGGTTTAGCAAAGCCAATCTGACCAGCATTATGAATGAAACAGACCTGGGGGTAATAACTGACCACAGTATGAGCATGAGTGGACAGTGCAATGCTGTAGCCAGCAGGACAAATAATACTCTGGTGTGCATCAATCGATGCACCTCCAGCAAAACCAAGGAAGTGGCTCTTCTGCTCTACTCAGCATTGGTGAGACTGCAGATGGAGTACTGCATCCAGTTCTGGGTGCCACACTTCAAGAAGGACATGGAAAAGCTTGAGAGATTCCAGAGAAGGGCCACCCGGATGATCAGAGACTTGCACGGCAAGCTGTACAAGGTAAGGCTGAGGAACCTGGAACTCTTCAGCCTGAAGAAGAGAAGGCTGAGAGGGGACCTGGTAGAAGCTTACGGCTACATCAGGAGCATACATCAAGGGCTCAGTGAACAACTGTTCACCAGGGCATCCTTGGGGAAAACCAGGAGTAATGGTCACAAAATCCTGGAAGACTGTTTCAGGCTCAACATTAGGAAAAACTTCTTTGCAGCTAGAGTGCCCAGACTGTGAAATAAGCTCCCTCCAGAGGTGGTGCAATTGCCTACCCTGGAAATCTCCAAGAGGAGACTGGATGGTCACCTTGCTGGGGTCACTTGCCCCAGTTGATTTTCCTGCTTGGTGCATGAGCTGGACCCAGTGATCTTCTGAGGTCCCCTCCAGCCTACATTCTATGAATCTATGAGAGAAAGGAAGACCTAGAGAATTACTGAACAATCAGTTTGACCCTGATCCCTGGTAAAATCCTAGAGAAAATTATAAAAAAATCCATTAGTGATAGGCTAACAGAAGGCAGTATTCTAAAAGATAGCCAACATGGCTTCATTACAGGCAAGTCATGCCAAACCAACCTCATTTCCTTTTACAATCAGGTAACGTGCCACTTGGATAGGGGAAATGAAGGTGATGTCATATATTTAGACTTCAAAAAGGCCTTCGACCTGGTCTCCCATGATGTCCTCATGGTAAAATTGGGAAAACGTGGCTTTGACTACTTTACGGTCTGGTGGCTGGCTCTATGGTAGGACCCAGAGAGTATTGACTGATGAAACTGTCATCGTGACGGAAGGTGACCTGTGGTGTCCCTCAGGCTTCAGTACTCGAACCAGTGCTTTTCAACATGTTCATCAACGGTTTGGATTCAGGTATTAACAGGAAACTGGCAAAGTTTGCTGACAACACCAAACGATGGGAAAGCGTGGTCGTGCTCCAGGACAGGCTGGCAATACAGGCTGACCTGGACAGGCTCGCGAGGTGGGCGGACTTCAACCTGATGATGTTTAATATGAAGAAATGCAAAGTGCTCCATCTGGGGAGAAATAATCCACACCACACTTACAGGCCCGGCTGCACTATGCTTGCCATCACCACAACTGAACGAGACCTGGGTGTCATGATAGACAACAAAATGAACATAAGTCACCAATGTGATGCTGTAGCTGGCAGAGCTAATCAAAAACTGGCATGCATCTACCGAGGCATCTCAAGCAGAGCTAAGGATGTCATCCTCCTGCTCTCCTTGGCCTTGGTGAGGCCGCAGCTGCAGTACTGCATCCAGTTCTGGGTGCCACACTTCAGGAAGGATGTGGAGAAGCTCGAGAGTCCAAAAAGAGCCACGTGCATGATTAGAGGCCTAGAGAGCAGGTCATGAGAGGAGAGGCTGAAAGTCTTAGGACTGTTCAGCCTGGAGAAGGGAAGACTCAGAGGGGACTTGTGACAGCCTGTAAGTATATCAGAACCATACGTCAGGGCCTGAGGGAGTCTCTATGCACCAGGTCCCCCAGGGGAGTACAAGAAACAGTGGGCACAAGCTGATTGAGGATCGCTTCAGATTGGATATAAGAAAAAACATCTTTATAAGTCGAGTGTCAAGGATTTGGAACAGGTTCGCCCCAGAGCTGGTACAGTCACCCACCCTGGTGATCTTCAAAAAGCATCTTGATGTCCATCTTGCTGGGGTCATCTGATCCCAGCTGTCTTTCCTGCCCAAAAGTGTGTGTGTGTGTGTGTTGGGGGGGGCTGGACCTGGACCTGGTGATCTATAAGGTCCCTTACAGCCCCTAACAACTGTGAAACTATGACTGTCACTTACCTCCCCCCGCCCCCCCCCAGGCCACGTGGGGGAGGGCCTGCAGGCCGGGAGTGAGGGGTACTGTGGGGTTATGGCAGGGGCCATGGGTCACAAATGAGGCTCCACAGGGTGATGTTGGGGTGGGGCTGCAGGTCAGGGTTAAAAGGCGTGATGGGACTATGATGAAAAGCTCTGGGTTGGGGTTGAGGGGCATTGGCACAGGCTCTGGGAAGACCGAGGCAGAAGGTGGGGAAGGGGCAGTATGTTTCCCCCCAACACTCCCGGCCCCTCCTCCCCCACAGAAAAAACCCAGCTCTGGAGTCTCCATTTTGCCTTTATTGAGATTCTAATTACATCACCACCACCTCCCCAGGGTAAGTGGAGGAGAACAGGCTGTGGAAACAAGGCATCCTATCCCAGGCTTGGAGGGGACACAGGCTTCCAGCTGGCTCTTAATCAAGTGCTATCAATTAATTGGTCCCCTCTTTCCTCCCCACACAACCTCCACCAGGGTCCTTTGGGTGGGGAGGGGCCTGGCCCTGACCCCACCTCCTTCCTCCCCAGGCCAGTTTTCCACTGTGACCCCAGGAGCTGGAAGTAGGATTTTCTGCCCTAGTTACAGTCATTACAGCAACAGCACAGGCCCCATCCTCATCCCAGCATCATTGCCGCAGAAGCTAGTCCTATGGCAAACAACAGGTCTTAAGTTTGTGAGGAGCAAAGGATGACCCCCCAGAACACCCCCAAGAACTGCCTTGGAAACTGCCAGTAGAAGGGGGGACACTTTTGCCTTGGGAACCCCTGGGGGGGGGTGCCCTAGAAACTGGTGCCTGTTGCACTGGAAATCGCTTAAGGGGTGCCTGGAAACCAGTAGGATGTCTTTTGCCAAAGAACAGATGTGTGTCCGTTACCACGGAAACCACTGAGGATGCCCATTGCTACAGAAACCCGATGGGGAGGTCTTCTGTGTCATGGAAACTGCTAGCGATGCCTGTTGCCATAGGGACCAGGTGTGGCAGCAGCAGTGGGGGTAGGTGTCTCCATGGTGATGGGGTTGCGTCCATGACAATTGAGGGGGGAGCAGTGCCCCCCCCAGGGCACCGCTGCCACCCTGGGCCCAGTCCAGGGCAATAAAGCTGAGAGAGGAAAGCATAAAGGCAATGCCCAGCATGGCAAAGGCAGCAGCCTGTTGAGGGGTTGGGGGGGAAGAATGAGATCCTTCTGCATCTTTGTGCAACCCCATGCATCCTCCCAGCTTCCTCATGCAACCCCCTACCTCCATGCATCCTTGTGCATTCTCTTGGCATCCCAGCACCACCCCCTGTCTCCCTTGTGCATCCTCATGCAATCCTTGCACATGTCCCTGTACCCCCACCTCCTCATGAATTCTCATGCAATTCCTATGCACCCTTCTGTATCCAAACACAACTCCTGCCTCCCTCATGCATCCTTGTGATGCCTTGTGCAACTCCTGTGAATCTTTCTGCAAGCCCCATGCACCCTCTCTGCTTCCTTGTCTCACCCCCCATGCACCCACCCAGGAACCCTTATGAATCTTCATCCAGTCCTCATGCATCCCCATGAATCCTTGCAACCCCTCCGTGAACCCTCATGGCAGTCCCATGTATTCTGTCTGTATCCTCATGCAAACTCCGTGCACCCTTGTGCAAGCCCCACACATCCTCCCTGCATCCTTGTGCAAACCTCATGCAGCCCTGTGAAGCCTTGTGCAACCCCCTATGCATCCTTGTGCAAGACCCATGCATCCTCATGCCCCCCGCCCCCCCCCCCCCCAC